ATACAAACATACCTATATACATATATAAATATACACACACACAGATATACATATACACACATATATAAGTATATATACATATGTATATATATAGATATATATACAGATATACACATATATGCACACATATACACACATACAGATATATACACACAGATAAAGATATATAGATATATACACACATATACACCTATACATAGGTATACACACATATATAGACATATTTACACAGATATACATATACACACACATATATACACACATATACACGCAGATATACATATATAGATACACATACATATATACAGATACTCATATATATACACATATATACACAATTATAGATATATATAGATATGTATACATATATAGATACATAGGTATATATACATGTATACATATATGTATATATACATACATATATACATAGATATATACACAGATATACGTGTATACATATATAGATATATAAACATACATATATACACAGACATACATGTATATATATACACATATATATACACACAGATATATACACAGATTTCCATGTATACATATACATGTATAGATATACACACATACACCACACACACACACATACATATTCAGCTGTACTTAGCAGGCAGAGTAAAATAGGATATATTTACTGCAATTTTCCCCTGGTTAATACTTTTTATATCTTATTAATCCCTTTCCTAAGCAGAGTCATGACCACATTTTCATTATTATAATATAGAATATTTCTAGTTTTAGGGCCTCTGGGTGGTTCAGTCTGTTAAGTGTCTGCCTTCAGCTCAGGTCATGATCCTAGGGTCCTGGGAATAGGCCCCATACGGGGCTCCTTGCTCAACAGGGAGTCTGTGCTTCTCCCTCTCTCTCTGCTCCCCCTGCCACTGCTCACTCTCTCTCTCAAATAAATAAAATCTTAAAAAAAAAAAAAAGAATATTTCTAGTTTTGCTTTAAAAAGAAATCAGGCCTTTAAGCCACCTGAATCTCATTTTTCATTTCATAAGGTTACTCCGGGATTCTTTCTTCCCACTGTTCTATAGGGATAGTGCCATCTGTCAAAGACCAATTATCTATGAAGCATATACTTTTTTTCTTGAGTTTTCTTTTCTGTTTCACTAATTTATTAAACTATCCTACTTCCAGTTCCACACAACTCTCAGAGCTTTACATATCTGATGGGGCCAATCCTACCACAACCTTCCTATGAACGAGATTTACTTTGATACTGCATTAGATGTTTATAATATTGAATTTATTATATGAGTGCTTCTTTTGTTTTTGTTAGGGTTAGCTAAAATTCATTCATTTTACTCTTTTCTATTCTTTTTTTTTAATTTTTATTTATTTATGATAGTCACACAGAGAGAGAGAGAGGCAGAGACACAGGCAGAGGGAGAAGCAGGTTCCATGCACCGGGAGCCTGACGTGGGATTTGATCCCGGGTCTCCAGGATCACGCCCTGGGCCAAAGGCAGGCGCCAAACCGCTGCGCCACCCAGGGATCCCTACTCTTTTCTATTCTAAGAAACATTCTATAATTTCTCAGTCTTCTAGGTTATCAATTTTTAATTTCACTTTTAAATTCTGTGTGTTAGTATACCTGCTATTATTCTTGCTTAATTTATTACTAGGACTACCAATTTACCTGTTCATTAATTTAGCTATATCCTAAGGTTTATAATATGCACAATTATTTTGTATATGTCATGCAATTTTGGGTTTGATATCGTTTTTAAAATTTTTTTTTAATAGATCTGCCCTACGACCCAGCAATTGCATTACTGGGGATTTACCCCAAAGATACAGATGCAATGAAATGCCGGGACACCTGCACCCCGATGTTTATAGCAGCAATGTCCACATAGCAGCCAAACTGTGGAAGGAGCCTTGGTGTCCATCGAAAGATGAATGGATAAAGAAGATGTGGTTTATGTATACAATGGAATATTACTCAGCCATTAGAAACGACAAATACCCACCATTTGCTTCAACGTGGATGGAACTGGAGGGTATTATGCTGAGTGAAATAAGTCAATCAGAGAAAGACAAACATTATATGGTCTCATTCATTTGGGGAATATAAAAAATAGTGAAAGGGAATAAAGGGGAAAGGAGAAAAAATAAGTGGGAAATATCAGAAAGGGAGACAGAACATGAGAGACTCCTAACTCTGGGAAACGAACTAGGGGTGGTGGAAGGGGAGGTGGCCCGGGGGTGGGGGTGATTGGGTGGTGGGCACTGAAAGGGCACTTGATGGGATGAGCACTGGGTGTTATTCTGTATGTTGACAAATTGAACACCAATAAAAAATAAATTTATTTAAAAAAAAAGATAATTTTTTAAATATCCATGTTAAGAGTTTTTTTATCTCATTAACTTCTATATTTATCAAATTATGTTGAGAATATTACTAATGGGATTCTAATTTATTAGATTTATTGAGGTTTTCTTTCTACAGTAATATTGTATTTTCACTATCATGATTAATCTATGGGAATATAAAAGGCTTCTTTGATTTTAGGATACACATACAAATATATGATTCACCTTTTTTTTTTTTAAGATTTTATTTCTTTGAGAGAGCCAGGGAAAAGAACAAGCATGGGGAAGGGCAGACAGAGGGAGAGGCACATTCCCCACTGAGCAGGGAGCCTGTCATGGGACTGGATCCCAGGACCCCAAGATCATGACCTGAACCAGAGGCAGATGCTTAACCTATTGAGCCATCCAGGCACCCCTGGTTGACTTTAATATAAATATCATTTATATCCCATATAGACATACTTATTTAATGTTCATAGTATCTCTAATCAGATGAGGTACACTATTATCTCCTAATCATGGTGAGTTTTAAGTTCTTAGAACCCCATCATTTTGTGTTTTATGATAGCTGGTATGATATTGCTTGGTGCAGTTACTCAAATGCTTAAGGGTTTACTTTGACCTGTGCTCTTGATCAGAGGGTCTTCTTTAAAGTTAATGAATTTATTTATTTATCTATTTATTTTAAAAATTTTATGTATTTATTTGAGAGAGAGGGAGTGAAAGAACACAAGTGGGGTGTGGGGCAGCGGGAGCAGCAGACTCCCCACTGATTAGAGAGCCCAATACAGAGTTTAACCCCAGGACTCTGAGATCATGACCTGAGCTGAAGGCAGACACCTAACTGACTGAGCCACCTAGGCACCACTAAGTTAATTCACTTACTGCCTAAACCTGAATAATAACACAAAACCCTAAATTATTTCATTTTTTTATTTAATAACCTTACTATTCTTTTACTGCAATATTTCAAAGATACTTATTTCAGGGTATCTTCTTTAGCCAACAATATGATCAAATCATTTACAACTAGTGACTGGGAAATATGCCTGATCTAAAAATTATGTCAATCTTCATGTTATGTTGTCTGACTGAAAGCTTTACAATAAGAACTTTCAGTAAACACTTAGGATGATTTTACTCCTTTGCTCTAAGAACTATATTGAAACTATAATTTTTGAAGTTTCTGCAATTGTTTACTAGTTTACACAAATACCAATAAGCACATGGAAAAATGGTTGACATCACCAGTGATCAGGTAAATTGTTAGGGACTGAATTATATCTCCCTTCAAATTTACACCGTTGAAGCTCTGATCCTCAAGTAACTATATTTGGTGATAAGGCCTTTGTGGAAATAATTAAGGCTAAATGAAGTCATAAGGGTAGAGCTCAAATTCTTAGGGGGTAGGTGTCCTTATAATAATAAGAAGAGACATCAAAGCTCTCTCTCCCTGAAAGCAAAGGGGAAAGGCTATATGAGGACACAATCTGAAGGCAGTCATCTGCAAGCCAGGAAGAAGCCTCACCAGAAATTAATTATGTTGACACCCGGATGTTGGACTTTCAGCTTCCAGAACTGAAATAAATTTCTGTTGTTTAGGGCATCCAGACTATGGCATTTATTATGCCAGGCCAAATGACTAGTACAGAAATGCACATCAAAATTTCAGAAATATACCACTTCACATCTACTAGGATGGCTAAATAAAAAAGTCAGATAATAACAAGTGTTGATGAAGATGTGGAAAAATTAGAACCCTCATATGCTATTATTAGGAATGAAAAATAGTACAGGCACTGTGGAAAATAGTCTGGAAGTTCCTGAAACAGTTACCACACAACCCAGCAATTTAGCTATCAAGTATAACTCAATAAGAGAAATAAAAGCATCATGTCCCCTCACTGCCCCCCAAAAATGTACATCTATGAAAAACTTGTAAATGAATGTTTCTATCAGATTATTCAATAGCCAAAAGGCAGAATCCCAAATGTAAATTGAATGAATGGGCAAACAAATGTGGCAAAAACATACCATGAAACATTATTTTGCCATAAGAAGGATCAATAAAGTACATATAAACCTTTTAATTCTATGTGAAAGAAACCAATCAAAAAAGATCACATAATGTATGATTGCATGGTACATGAAATGTCTGCAATAGTCACATCTAGACAAAAAGTAGATTAGTGATTGCTTGGACAGAAGGACAGGGAGGAATAGCTAGAGTATGAGATTTCTTTTTTTTTTTTTTTTAAAGATTTTATTTATTCATGAGAGATACAGAGAGAGAGAGAGAGAGAGAGAGGCAGAGACATAGGCAGAGGGAGAAGCAGGCTCCCCCAAAAGGAGCTGATCCTGTGCCCCAGGATCACGACCTGAGCAGAAGGCAGACGCTCAACTGCTGAGCCTCCCAGGCATCCTAAGAGTATGAGGTTTCTTTTTGAAATGATGAAAATGGACTGTGGTGTGGTTTACACATATCTATGATTATATGAATAGGCACTGAATTGTACCCTTTACATTGGTGGATTATATGATATGTAAATAGTACCTCAGTAGAGCTATTTAAAAGGGTAAAAGAACCAACGAACCAAACAAAACTTTCAAAGGTATTCCCCTAAAAGTTTAACTACTCTAAGTGTTTCCTTCCATCAGTGCTCACCCACCTAGGTACCTCTGGTTTAGGAATTCTTCCCCTAAGGACCAGGGCTCTTCTCCTTGCTCCAACTTGAAGATCATCTTGGGTTTGGTAGTGCAATACTCTGTAAAAATGACAATTGAGAGTATATATAGATCAGATCCATGGGCTTTTTGATACAGCAGCATGAGTACCAAAATAAATGTGCTCATTTGAAATTTTCCATTGTTTCTGTTTTCCTCAAGTCTTCAGGTACCTTTGACCTCTTACTCAAAAGCCTGTATTACACTCTTCTCTACAAAGAATCCATGTGTCTTGATAACTTTTAAAAAAAGGAAATTTAATTTAAAGTAAGTCACATAATAAGGTCTGCTTACCCACTGAGAGGAGGTGGCTATAGTTCTCTAGCATCACATCTCTGTACAGAGTCCTTTGTGCAGGGCTCACATACTGCCATTCATCCTGGGTAAATACCACAATCACATCTTCAAATGACATGGATCCCTGTAACAACATGTTTTGTTCAAAGATTCAGAATTATGTTCAGAAAATATCTTTGAGAATTACTACTTTCTCTGTTTACTCTTAAGCTCTAAAAGACATGCTTATCAAAGATGACTATTTCTGACCTAATTTTGTCTTTAACTGTGGAGTTACTCAGTTAAAAAGGTTTTTAACTTACAATTCATTTATCTGTTTATGAATTATAGATTTTTTAAGACAAAAAATTTCAATGTAAAGAGATTTCCTATAACTCTTCCTCTTCATCCTGAGGGATTACTGTGGGTATTCTAGAGAATTCTAAAATGTTCATTCTCTCCTTAGACATCATCATTGTAAATAATGGGAGACAAAGAAGGTACATGCAAGCTGTAGAGATATCTTACATGATTAAATTTAGGTATAAATACAGATATAAAGATATATAAATTTAGAGCTCATGAAGAGCAAAGAACAACTTACCAAGGATTTGGAGACACAGAGACCAATATAAGTGAATGTTATTTACACAGAAGTAACAGCAATGAATATAAGGATAAGCATATAGTCACAGAGCAGAAGCAGCAACCAATTTGATAACTCCTTTCTTATACAACCATCCAGTCTAACTGAACGAGCAGCTCCTGGAAGGCTAGTGCCAAACACTGACATTTAGGAAACAACAGGAAAAAGAAATGTTAGAAGTTTTAGTGAGACAGACCTGTTCATGTTGTTCCTAAAGAGTCTGTGAACATAAAGCTGGAACTATTCTTTAAATTAGTATATATATGTGGTTTTAGAATATAGAAAGGAAGTCTAAGATGAAGACGATCACTTAGGAGTTACTAGCAATTTAGGTGGTTAACTAAAATTATAAGAGGCAGACGGCAACTTGAGCTATATGCTATACATCCTATATGGGACTGAGAAAAGAAAAACACCAAATAGCATTTAGGGAAGCATGAATATTAAAGAGGCTGGCATACAAAGTATAGGCCACAAAAGCCAAAGAAAAAGCTTTCTGAAAAGTAGTAAGAGTCAGGAAATGGTAGAATCTCGGAAAATGAGAAAAAGGAAAATTTCCATAACAAAAGACTTCAAAGGGGCTGGGGAGGAATTGGAGTTGCTATTCAACAGGTATTTAGTTTTAGTTATGCAAAATTATTAAATTCCACCTAAAAATGTGCTGAGGGTAGATCGCATGTTAAATGTTCTTATAATAATTAAAAGTAGAAATGAAAGGGAAGACTAAGAGATCATAGGACAGAAATTTTTTTCTCCCCCCAGTGTTATGTATACAATTATTTGTTCATTCATGTCTTCAGTATTACTAAGTGAGTACCTCCTGCATGTGAAACTCAATAGTAGTAGCAGCTGGTAACTAAAACAAATAAATAAGAGAACAGGAATATCTCTTAAAAATTTTGACCTAAAAAAAGGAAAAATTTAATTATATTCTCCAAAACTAAAAAAAAAATAGGGAAAAAAAGTGGCACTACTTTCATTTTTGCCAATCTCTTTAATATCTGACTTAATAAAATCACTTGGATTAAAAAATATAAGCTAACAAGTGACAAAATAGTGAAGTAAAGGATCCAAGCAAATTCTCTCCTTCATAAAAACTATGCAAAAACTAGCAAAAATTAGGGCACCTGGGTAGCTCAGTTGGTTAAATGTCCAACTCTTGATTTCAGCTCGCATAATGATCTCAGGATTGTGGGATTGAACCCGTCAGCCTCCACACTCAGCACAGAGTCTGCATGAAATTCTCCCTCTGTTTCTCTCCTGCCCCTTCCTCTCACTCATGCTCTCTCTTGCTCTCTCAATAAATAAATAAAATCCTTTAAAAAAAAAAAACTGGCAAAAGTTATAAAAATTAACAAAGGCTATCTTCAAAACATTTGTAAAAAATAAACAAAAACAAAACAGGTGAATCACAGTAAGAATGTGACCTTTTAACTTACCCTGTTCTCATCCCTCTCCTTCCAAGTCCAAAATAGTTTGATAACCAGCAGCATGGCCACCACACCACCACCAAAAGTAGGCTAGAGATTCATCAAAGCCTCATTCACAAAAAATTGTCATTATTTGGCCTGTTTGGTGGTTTCCTGAGAGACTCTACTTATAAGGATGCCTTTATTTGAGCTAACTCAGAGCTCAGTGTGTAAAATATTGACCTCACTTGTCATTCATCAAAAACTGAAGGCATTTCTTTAAATTAATTGGCTACCCAAAGTGGTAGATAACAGCTGAGGCAAACCATGGCTTAACCAAGAAGCTTGAAAGGAATAGCTGGATAATGAGATGTTCATAAATGTTTTTGAAAAGCTCTGATATAGTCCTAAGAATCCAGGAGGCCTCATACTTGCAAAGAGCTATGCATATGCTTAAGGCTGTGAGCATACTGAGGAAAAATGTGAGAAGGCCCTGAGCTGTCGCTTACAGATGCCCCAGAGGCGTGGCATTAGAGAAGTCTAGGCTAATGCAGTTATAAGGTATCTAACTGTTGAAAAAATTATGTGACATGCAAAGAGCCCCTTAGCAAAGACTGGGAGACCTACTCGTTTTACGCATTTAACGAAATTTCTGTAGACACTTCAACCGCCTCAGATACAAGATACACAGGCTCTACAGAATTTTTTAAAAAGTCACTGAACAAATAAATTTCAACAATGATCCCGATGGAGGAGAGAAATTCTAATTATATAATTGCCACATTCTTTTATTTAAAATGTCCTATTTTCAACAAAAAATTAGTAAACAAGGAAAGAAACAAAGGAAGGCCCATATACAGAAAAGGTATAATCAACAGAAATTGCTCTTAAGGAAGCAGACATTGAACTTACTAGACAATGACCTTAAATCAGCTATATTAAATATGGTCAAATACCTAGCAAAAACAATATCCAAAGACTGAAGGAAAAGAAAAGAAAACATTTCACTGAATAAAGAATATCAATAAAAAGAGAAATTTTAACAACAAATAGAAATTATATAGAAACTCAAGAGTTGAAAAATACAATAACTAAATCAAAATTTCACCAGAGGGATTCTCTAGCAGATTTGAGCAGGTAAAAGAAAGAATGAACAGACTGGACAATATGCTCATTGAAATTACATACTGTGAAAAACAGAAAGAAAAATGACAAAAAATGAACTATGGGATAGCATCAAGCTTACCAACATATGCATCAGTCCCAGACATAAAGTCTGAAAGAATATTTGAAGAAATAATGGCCAAGAAGTCTCCAAATTTCATGATAAACATTAATCTACAAATCCAAGAAGCTCAATAAACTTCAATAAGGATAAATCTGGAGTAAGAGATCCACACTTAGACACATGATAATCAAACTGTCAAAAAATAAAGACAAAGAGACAATACTGAAAGCAGCAAGAAAGAAGTGATTCATCACGTACAACAGTATTAAAAGCAGATTACTAATCAGAAACCATGGAGGACAGAAAGCAGTGAAATGATGTATGACAAGTGCTGAAAGAAAAAAGTTGTCAACCAAGAAAGTTGTATATTCAGCAAAAATAGAAAAAATTAAAACCTTCCCAGATAAACAAAAACAAAATTTGCCATAGGCAGAACTGCCATACAGGAATAATACAGGGTTAGCAAATCTATACAGACAGAAAATAGATTAGTGGTTGCTTGGGGTTTGGGGAAATGAGTAGATGAGAGGGAATAAAATATGGAGTTACTTTTTAAGGTGATGAAAATGTTCTAAAATTGACTGTGGTGATATTTGCACAAATCTGTAAGTATACTAAAACATCACTGAATTCTACATTTTAAATGGGTCAAAGGCATAGTACGTGAATTGAATCTCAATAAAGCTTATAAAGAAAATAAAGAGAATGAAACCATTCCAAGAATAATAGAGCAGATTAAAGGGCCAACATCATAAACTGGGAATGAGGAACATGAAAGGAAAGAGAAAGAAGATAAAGAAATAAGCCCTGGAAGGATGGAGTCAATGGATGGTGTCATGGATATTATAAACAAAGAAACCTTCCAGAAAGAGTGAAAAAGTAGAAGCAAATGCTACAGAAAAATCAGATAAGGAAAGGATTGGACAAGACCCAATAGATTTGAGTATAATCAAGTCTCCGGTCACTAGATATGACAGGCAAGTGGAGAGAGAAACCAAAGCATCGTGTAGAGGTTTGAAGTGTAAATACAACAGGTTGAAATGTTTGAAAGAAAACACAATTTTAAACTGTCTGCTGAGCAACCTGAGTATCATGGGTACTCAAAATATTTATGGAGAGTAATTTTAAGGGATATTCAGTTGATTCATTAGAACAATGTCGAATTCAACCCCTGTATTTGAGCTTCTGGAAAACAGAACTGACCAAGTTCACATTTAGCATTATGTCTCCTACTTTTATTGAAGAACAAGTAGAGACCATGTTCTATATTACTTTAGTAACTACTGAAAAGTTAACTAAATCATCCACTAGAAAAATGAAGGTTTTTCAAAATCTATAAATATTTTAACATTCCATGTGGTATCAGTTTGCTTAACCTTTCTCACTAATGTCAACCTTTAAAGCAGTACTGTTTGACACCCTGACAAGGCTACCAAAACTCAGAAATAAATTTGGAGTTCCAATTTGGTAAATTTGTAATGTAAGAGGACCTGCATATCCATATGCCACCTTTACTCTGCTATTCATCTGTATTTCCATCTCTGAATGCATCTGATCTGTTTCTATTTCTACTTTTTCATGTTAATGGACACTTAAGTCCTTATAAAATCCACCGTAAACAAACAGGTTATTAAAAAAGAACTCACCTGCACTATGTTCATTTTCTGCTGCTCCTCAAAGGATGTAAAGAAATTAAAAGGTTCAGCTGGGAAAGAAGAAAAAGAAATAAGGTCATCAGAAACCTGGTGTGCCTTACAACTATTTTCATTTACCTAAAAATCTCATAACACCAGCTGGAAAAAAAGGTTTCCCTACAGAAGAATGTCCTTTTGACATTTTTAAGAGGAACAGGAAGGACTACACAGAGGTAGGACCTGAATATGTGCATCTCCGATATGATTATGTGGATTTAACCTTGCATTTTCACTGCTGTGAAACTCAGAAGTCAATGAATTAACAATTTCTGTCCCCTTCTAAGTAAGAACAACAAAAAAAACAAAATAAAACAAGAGGATAGTGGTTAAACAAATTCAGGTATACAAAGGTAAAATTTTGCACCTTCACTTAAACTAATGCTTTAAAAACCTATTTAGATGGGATTGTTAATCAAATTTGTATTGTCTTTACACCTTGAATTAGAGCTTCCCCCAGAGAACTCCAAAATAAAGATGGGATGCTTTATGCAAGAAATATTTTTTCTAACTTTGTTTTCTAAATTGGTTGCAAATTCTAAAACAAATTTTTTAGTAAGATGCTTATAGTATTGACCTGTGTAAATAAACAGCACTGTGCTTAAGTTCTTGATTCTGCCTGGGTGTCTTTACAAAAATCATTCATTTCAGGCCCAATATTTTGAGCTTCCAAAAGTGTCTAATATAGAAAACCTTTTTTCCACTATCCTTTTGTCATTCCCTACACTCAGGAAAAAGGGAGTACCAGCCTAACTCTAGATGCCACATGTGGTGATGGGTATGCTATGAAGGCAGCTCATAATCTGGAAAGAAGGGAGAAAGAAGAAACTGGGTGCTATTTAGGATTTCGTCAGTTCTGGCTCGTTAAACCTTCCCTGGGCATCAAGTCCTTACCAGCCATCCAGTGAAGTGCCTTTTCCTGTACAGTCTGACAGTCACCTATCCCTCTCAATCTCAGGTTACCACCTTCTGCAAGCTAGTCCAGTGCCCACTGTCACGCATCTGTGATGGCTTCTGCATGTGATGCTATCACCAAATCTAACTCATGCTATACAGAGATCAAGAATTGCTTCTGGTGGAGGGAATCAGGACCCGTGCTTGAAACTTCTGCTTCTGCTCTGAAGCTCCAGTGAGGAACCTGTCAGGACAGCTGTTCTTCTAAGTGACAGTTGTTCCTAGGGCTCTCTTTTTCCAGTCTTAAGAGTTACTTTACTACAGGGTAGCCCCGGTGGCACAGCGGTTTAGCGCCTCCTGCAGCCTGGGGTGTGATCCTGGAGACCCAGGATCAAGTCCCACGTGGGGTGTCCTGTATGGAGCCTGCTTCTCCCTCTGCCCGTGTCTCTGCCTCTCTCTGTCTCTATGAATAAATAAAATCTTTAATAAGATCTTAATAAAACCTAAAGATTTAAAATCTTAAAAAAAAAAAGAGTTGCTTTACTACAAAGGGGCTGGGATCTGGGGCTGAGAAACAAATTTGATATATTTGAAACCTCCACTTAACACTCTATACCTGACTTTGGAATCAACTACTACAAATGTACTATCCAATAACGTGGCCATCAGCTGCATGCAACTACTACACCTGAAGTGTGTGTGGCTAGTGCCACAAATCAAAATAACAATTTGGATATACTGAGTTAAACACATCAGTATTATTAATTTCATCTCTTTTTATTGTTGCTACTGAAAAATTTAAAATTACATTTAGTTTCCATTTTCTATTGGCCAGCACTGCATTAGATTAACAGACTGTGCCTTTGAGGATGGAAATACCTTAGATGCTGCAGGAAGGCTCAAGAGTCTCAGGGGCTCTTAAAAGAATCCACAAATCCCAGGATATATTTACCACGTTGTAAGACTCTGTCCATATTCACTTCACAACCCTATCTCTGCAAATGTGGGGACAGGCTATTCTGCTAAAAGCTCAAAGGTTGCAACTCTTGGTTTGGGGCAGAAAGATATTGGAAGAGCAACGTATAGAGGGACTAAACCGTACTTGTATTTACATCCAACCTCTCCCACCTACTATCTTGTACCCGGGGGTATGTCATTTGGCTTCCAGTAAATTCCTTTCACCTTTTAAAATGGCATATTTATAAGGGCAATTGTGAGGTTTAAATGAAATACCAAAGGAAACAAAGGGTCTTGTGATAGCAACTTACACACCAATGTCTCATCCAGACACCACGGAAGCGGGCGGGAACCCGCGAGCACACAGGGGCGGGCGGGGGGGAGAGTCCCAGGACCTGCAGCTCACAGACGCCACACACAAACCTACCCGACCTGGAAGGCCCCAGGCCTCCCGGAGCCGTGACCCCAGTGCTCTCAGCCCAGTGGGAGCCCTCTGCTCCCGCAGAGACCCAAAGAAGGCGAAGTCCGGTCCTTCTCGAGAGAAGATGGTCACAAGGGGCGAGGCGGACTGTGCGCTGCGCTGAAAGCGCCGGGAACACCGTTCCCAGAGGACTGCGCTGTAGGCTCTTGACATTTAAGACTACATTTCCCATAAAACTTTGAGACCGCAGGAAGTAATTTTAGAGGCTTTTCCTCCTCGGCAAGTTGGGACGTGACAATGGGACCTGACGCTTGGAGACTTTAGCCGAATCCCTAGATATTGTAGATTAGGCTTGAACTCTCTGACATGACAGCAGATTGCTGCGAAGCGTGGCTCTCGAGTGGATGGATCCTAGTTGGAAAAACACAACAGCTGCAAGAGACTACACTTGGAGAAACGATTATAGACTAGATCTTATAAATACAAAGGAGAATTACCATTACTTTGGCTAGTGTGATTAATATTTGGACGATGTAGGAAATTGTTCTTATTTTTAAAGATACATACGTGGAGTTTGAGGAGCAAGACAGATGAACATAGGGGAAGGAAAAAAAATGAGAGAAGGGGCAGCCCCTTGGAGGCTCTTGAATGTGGACAGCAGACTGGGAATTCCTGAGTGGAGGGGGAGGTGGGTGGGAATGGGCTGGATGGGTGATGGGCCTGTGGAGAGCACTGTGTGGCATGCGTGTGTGTGAGGAGTCACTAAATTCTTCTACTAAAACCAGTATTGCACTATGTGTTCACTAACTGGAATTTAAATAAAAATTTGAAACATTAAAAGAAGAAATTTTCGATTATTAAATCATATATGTGACTATATAACATAAAATTTACTTTCTAAAATTCAGCAAAACAATTAGAAAAAGAAAATATGGTTAAGAATTGTTAAATTTGTGTAATATGCATATGATGTTCATTTTACTATTTCTAGTATTCATTCTGAATCTATGAATTAATTTTTAATACATAGTAAAAATGGAAGCAGGGAGACAGTGGTGGTGGTGGCGGTGGTGGTAGGAGGATGGTTAGGGAGAGTCTACTGCCCCTCCAGAAGTACACCTTTTAAAATCAATTTTCCTGGATACACACAAGTATCTTTTATGAATACTGCTGTGCAATATAACAAATACTAGAAAATGGAACAAGAATTAACCTAAGAGTCGTATCTTGGCAGGGTATATCTGGGGGGTGGAGATGGGGTAAGCTAGCTGCTCAAAATACATAGAACCCAAAATAAGAAAATTATTATTATCAATTATTATTATTATTATTATTATTATTATCAATTTTGCATCTCCACCAGTAAATTTTCTTTCAAAATTAATGCATGGATACATCAGACGTTTTTAACAAATTAGAGACCTAAGGACATGAAAACAAATTTTGAGTGGACCTTTTTAGAGTAGTGTTAGATTTATAAAATAATTGAGCAGAAAGTAGAGTTCCCATATATCCCTTCTCATCACTCCACACACCATATCCCCTATTTTTAGTATCTTACATTAATGTAGTACATTTTCTACAATTAACGAATGAAATAGTATTACTACCTAAAGCCCATAGTTGACATCAGCGCTCTTTGTGTTGTACAGTTCAATGGGTTTTGCCAATTTAATAATGTCATCCACTGTAATATCCACTATTACATTATCATAGAGAGCAGTCTCACAGACCTAAAATATAAAGAACATTTTTACTGCCCTAGAATCTGTGCTGTATCTACTCAACCTCTCCCCTTTGAATTTCCCCTTTGAACTCCTGACATCCATTTATCTTTTCATTATCTCAATAGTTTTGCCTTTTCCAGAATGTCACATAGTTAAAATCATATAGTAAGTAGTCTTTTTAGATTGGCTTATTTCAGTTAGGAGATGAATTGAAGCTCTCTCCCTGTCTTTTTCTGGCTTAATACCTCGCTTCTTTTTTATTGCTGAATAAAATTCCATTATATTGATTTACATAGTTTGTTTTTACACTCTTCTATTGAAAAGCATCTGATTTAAAATGTTTACAATCACAAAATAAAACTTTTTGTGTATGTGTATGTGTACCTTTTTTAAAAAAGATTTTATTTATTTATTCATGAGAGACACACAGAGAGAGGCAGAGGGAGAAGCAGGCTCCAGGCAGGGAGCCGGATGTGGGACTTCCTGAGCAGAGGCCAGATGCTCAACTACTGACCCATCGAGACATCCCATGTGTGTGGGCTTTTGTATGAACAGAAGATTTCAAAACAATTCAGTAAATAGCAAGGAGAGCAATTGCAGGATTCTATAGTGGAAACGGTTTAAATTTATAAGAAACTGCCAAACTGTCTCCCAAAAGTGAATATCATTTTGCATTCTCACCAGCAATAACTGAGAGTTTCCCTACTCCATATCCTCACCAGCATTAGGTGTAGTCAGTGCATTGGATTTGGATTTGTTCTATTAACTTTTTGGTTGATTCTTTCTCCAACATCACACTAGTTTGATCACTGTAGCCTTATACCAATTTTTGGCATTAGGTAGGGTCAGTCTTCTGACTTGGTTCTTTAATAATGGGTTGGTTATTCTGGACATTTTTGCTTCTATACAAATATTATAATCAATTTGATGGTATTTAAAAAGTAAATTTCTGTGATTTTGATTGAGACTGAGTGAACCTATTGATTAAATTAGTTGGAAATGACATCTTAACAATATTAAGAATTATATTCATTACCATGGAATATCCCCATCTATTTTGTTCTTCTTTGATTTGTTTCATCTGAATATTGTAGGTGCCTCATGTAGATTCTGTAAATATTTCCTTAAATTTATTCTTAACTATTTCATTGTAAATGGTATTGTGTGTATTTGTTTGTTGTTTTAGAGGAGGGTGCAGAGGGGCAGAGGGAGAGGAATAGAGAGAATCAGAAGTGGTGCCCAAAGTGGGACTCAATCTCATGACACTAAGCTAAAATCAAGAGTCGTACACTTCACTGAGGAGCCGCCTAGGCAAACTGTGTTTTTCACTTCATTTTTTAAAATATATATACATATCTTTTATTGGAGTCCGATTTGACAACATAAAGTAAAACACGCAGTGCTCATCCCATCAAGTGCCCTCCTCACTGCCCATCACCTAGTCCCCGAAGCCCCTGGCCACTTCCCCTTCCACTACCCCTTGTTCATTTGAAAGAGTTGAGTTTCTTATGCTTTGTCTCTCTCTCTAATTTTTCCCATTTTCTCTCCTTTCCCCTATAATATTTTCACTACTTTTTATATTCCCCATATAAGTGAAACCATATAATAATTGTCCTTCTCAAAAAAAAAATAATTGTCCTTCTCCAATTTACTTCCTTCACTCAACATAATACCCTCTAGTTCCATCCACATTGAAGCACATGGGGGGGAACCTGTCCTTTCTGATGGCTGAGTAATATTCCATTGAATATATAAACCACAACTTCTCTATCCGTCCAACTGTTGAAGAACACCGGGGCTCCTTCCACAGTTTGGCTATTGTGGACATTGCTGCTATAAACATTGGGGTGCAGGTGTCCTGGCGTTTCACTGCATCTGTATCTTTGGGGTAAATCCCCAGCAATACAATTGCTGGGTCATAGGGTAGCTCTGTTTTTAACTCTTTGAGGAACCTCCACACAGTTTTCCCGAGTGGCTGTACCAGTTCACATTCCACCAACAGTGCAAGAGGGTCCCCCTTTCTCCACATCCTCTCCAACATCTGTTATTTCTTGTCTCGTTAATTTTCACCATTCTCACAGGTGTGAGGTGGTATCTCATTGTGGTTTTGATGTGTATTTCCCTGATGGCAAGGGATGCGGACCATTTTCTCATGTGCTTGGTGGCCATATGTATGTCTTCTTTGGTGAAATTCCTGTTCAGTCCTCTGCCCATTTGATGATTGGATTGTTTGTTTCCTGGGTGTCGAGTTTAATAAGCTCTTTATAGATCTTGGATAAGCCCTTTATCTGATGTGTCATTTGCAAATATCTTCTCCCATTCTGTAGGTTGTCTTTTAGTTCTGTTGACTGTTTCTTTTGCTGTGCAGAAACATTTTATCTAGAGTAAGTCCAATAGTTCATTTTTGCTTTTGTTTCCTTTGCCTTCACAGATGTATATTGCAAGAAGTTGCTGTGGCCAAGTTAGAAAAGGGTGTTGCCTGTGTTCTCCTCTAGGATTCTGATGGATTCTTGTCTCACATTTAGATCTTTCATCCATTTTGAGTTTATCTTTGTGTAATGGTGTAAGAGAATGGTCTAGTTTCATTCTTCTGCATGTGGCTGTCCAATTTTCCCAGCACCATGTATTGAAGAGACTGTCCTTTTTCCAGTGGGTAGTCTTTTCTGCTTTGTCAAATATTAGTTGACCATAGAGTTGAGGGCCCATTTCTGGGTTCTCTATTCTGTTCCATTGATCTATGTGTCTGTTTTTGTGCCAGGAGCACACTGTCTTGATGATCACAGCTTTGTAGTACAACTTGAAATCTGGCATTGTGATGCCCCCAGGACTCGTTTTCTTTTTAATATTCGCCTGGCTATTCGGGGTCTTTTCTGATTCCACACAAATCTTAAGATGAATTGTTCCAACTCTCTGAAGAAAGTCCATGGTATTTTGATAGGGATTGCATTAAATGTGTAAATTTCCCTAAGTAGCATAGATATTTTCATCATATTAATTCTTCCAATCCATGAGCATGGAATATTTTTCCATCTCTTTGTGTCTTTCCCAATTTCTCTCAGAAGTGTTCTGTAGTTTTTAGGGTGTAGATCCTTTACCTCTTTGGTTATGTTTATTCCTAGGTATCTTATGCTTTTGGGTGCAATTGTAAATGGGATAGACTCCTTAATTTCTCTTTCTTCAGACTCATTGTTACTGTATAGAAATGCCACTGCATTCTGGGCATTGATTTTGTATCCTGCCACAGTGCCGAATTGCTGTATGAGTTCTAGCAATCTTGGGGTGGAGTCTTTTGCGTTTTCTATGTACAGTATCATGTCATCGGCGAAGAGGGAGAGTTTGACTTCTTCTCTGCCAATTTGAATGCCTCTTCTTTCTTTTTGTTGCCTGATTGCTGAAGCTAGGACTTCTAGTGTTATGTTGAATAGCAGTGGTGAGAGTGGACATCCCTGTCTTGTTCCTGATCTTAGGGGAAAGGCTCCCAGTGCTTCCCCACTGAGAAAGATATTTGCTGTGGGCATTTCGAAGATGGCTTTTAAGATGCTCAGGAATGTTCCCTCTATCCCTACGCTCTGAATAGTTCTGATCAGGAATGGATGCTGTATTTTGTCAAATGCTTTCTCTGCATTTATTGGGAGGATCATATGGCTCTTGTTTTTTCTCTTTTTTTCTCTTGTTTATATGATCTATCACATTGATTGCTTTGCGAGTGTTGAACCAGCCTTGCATCCAGAGGATAAATCCCACTTGGTCATGGTCAATAATCCTCTTAATGTATTGTTGAATCCTATTGGCTAGTATCTTGTTGAGAATTTTTGTATCTGTGTTCATCAGGGATATTGGTCTATAATTCTCCTTCTTGGTGGGGTCTTTGTCTCGTTTGGGAATTAAATTGATGATGGCCTCATAGAACGAGTCTGGGAGTATTCCATCCTTTTCTATCTTTCCGAACTGCTTTAGTAGAATAGGTATGGTTTCTTCTTTAAACGTTTGATAGAATTACCCTGGGAAGCCATCTGGCCCTGGGCTTTTGTGCCTTGGGAGGTTTTTGATGACTGCTTCAATTTCCTCCCTGGTTATTGGCCTGTTCAGGTTTTCTATTTCTTCCTGTTCAAGTTTTGGTAGTTTGTGGCTTTCCAGAAGTGCGTCCATTTCTTCTAGATTGCCTAATTTATTGGCATATAGCAGTTCATAATATGTTTTTAAAATCGTTTTTATTTCCTTGGTATTGGTTTTGATCTCTCCTTTTTCACTCGTGATTTTATTAATTTGAGTCTGTTTGTTTTTAATAAGGCTGGCTAATGGTTTATCTATCTTCCTAATTCTTTCAAAGAACAAATTCCTGGTTTTGTTGATCTGTTCTACAGTTCTCCTGGTCTCTATTTCTTTGAGTTATGCTAGGATCTTCATTAACTCTCTTCTGCTGGGTGTAGGTTTTATTTGCTGTTCTTTCTCCAGTTCCTTTAGGTGCAAGGGTAGCTTGTGTATTTGAGTTTTTTCAGTTTTTTTGAGGGATGCTTGTATTGCGATGTGTTTCCCTCTTGGGACTGCTTTTGCTGTACCCCCAAAGATTTTGAACGGTTGTATGTTCATTTTAATTAGTTCCATGAATCTTTTTAATTCTTCTCTAATTTCCTGGTCGACCCTTTCATCTTTCAGCAGGACGCTCTTTAACCTCCATGTGTTTGAGTTTCTTTCAAATTTCTTCTTGTCATTCAGTTCTAGTTTCAAAGCATTATGGTCTGAAAATATGTGGGGGACAATCCCAATCTTTTGGTATCGGTTAAGACCTGATTTGTGACCCAGTATGTGGTCTATTCTGGAGAAAGTTCAATGTGCACTTGAGAAGAATGTGTGTTCAGTTGCATTGGGATGGAAAGTTCTATAAATATATGTGAAATCCATCTGGTCCAGTGTATTATTTAAATCCCTTGTTACTGTAGAGATATTGTGCTTAGAAATCTGTCATATGTAGAAATTGCCATGTTGAATTCTCCTACTATCTGTGTATTATTATCTAAGTATGTCTTCACTTTGATTATGAATTGTCTCATATACTTGACAGCTCCCACATTAGGGACATTAGGCCTATGATTGTTAGGCAACATGATTGTTAGGCCTTCTTGTTGGATAGATTCCTTAAGTATGATACAGTGTCTCTCTTCATATCTTACTATCTTTCGAATAAACATTAATTCATCTGGTATGAGGACTGCTACCACAGCGTTCTTTTGAGGACCATTTTTTTAATATATTTTTTTATTTATGATAGTCATACAGAGAGAGAGAGAGGCAGAGACACAGGCAGAGGGAGAAGCAGGCTCCATGCACCGGGAGCCTGACATGGGATTCGTTCCCGGGTCTCCAGGATCGTGCCCTGAGCCAAAGGCAGGTGCCAAACCGCTGCGCCACCCAGGGATCCCCAGGACCATTTTTTTTTAAAAGATTTTATTTATTTATTCATGATAGTCACACACACACAGAGAGAGAGAGAGAGGCAGAGGGAGAAGCAGGTTCCATGCAGGGAGCCCGATGTGGGATTCAATCCCGGGTATCCAGGATCACGCCCTGGGCCAAAGGCAGGCGCCAAACCGCTGCGCCACCCAGGGATCCCTCGAGGACCATTTTAATGGCAAGTGGTTCCCCAACCTTTCTTTTCAGGCTAGAGGTGTCCTTAGGTCTAAAATGAGTCTCTTATAGAAAAAAATAGATGGGTTTTGCTTTTTTATCCATTCCAAAAACCCTTTGTCTTTTGATGGGAATATTTAGCCCGTTCACATTCAGAGTAACTATTGAAAGATATGAATTTAGTGTCATTGTAATGCCTATTCAGTCCTATTTTTATGGACTTTTTTCTTTGGGCTTCCTATTTCTTTTACAGGGTCACTCTTAATATTTCTTGCAGAGCTGGTTTGGTGGTCACATATTCTTTCAGTTCCTGCCTATCTTGGAAGCTCTTTATCTCTCCTTCTATTCTGATGGACAGCCTTGCTGCATAAAGAATGTTCTTATTTACTACCCTGAATAGATCATGCCAACCCTTTCCAGCCTGCAGGTCTCTGTGAAGAGGTCTGCTGTTAATCTGATACTTCTCCCCATATAAGGTAAGAACCTCTTATCTCTCACTGCTTTAAGGATTTTATCTTTATCTGTAGTGAATTTGCAAGTTTCACTTTAAATGTTGAGGTGTTGAATGGTGTATATTGATTTTGAGGGCCTCTCTATCTCCTGGATCTGAATCCCTGTTTCCCTCCCAGATTAGGGTAGTTCTCAGTTATGACTTGTTCAAATATGCTTTCTGGCCCTTTGTCCCTCTCAGCGTGTTCTGGAACCCCAACTGTACATAGATTCTTCCTTCTTAGGCTATCATTTATTTCCCTTAACCTTTCCTCATGATCTCTTCATTGTTTTTCTCTTTTTACCTTAGCTCCCTTTCTTAACATCAACTTCTCTTCTATGTTGCTCACTCTTTCTTCCACCTCATTAACCCTCATTGTTAGGACATCCAGTTTGGATTGCATCTCATTTAATTGATTTTTAGTTTTGGCCTGACTAGATCTAAATTCTGCAATAATGAAGTCCCCAGAGTCCTTTATGCTTTTTTCCAGGGCCACGTGTACCTTAATAACTGTGCTTCTGAATTGGTTTTCTGACAACAAATTGTAATCCATATTCTGTAACTCTGTGGCAGAGAGTACTGGTTCTGATTCTTTCCTTTGTGGTGAGTTCTTCCTTCTAGTCATTTTGCTCAGTGCAGAGTGGCTGTATGAGCGGGCTGAGTCAAAAGTATCAACCACAGCCTAAGTAAATTTCACTCTAGATGATTCTGACTAGGTCAGAGACCAGAAAATGAAAAAGAAGATCAGAACAAAATAAAACAAAAGGATCACTAATGTGAAAAATAAATTTTATAACAAAGTAGTAAAACGTAAAAGGTTAAAAATTCCAGAGAAGAAGAAAAAAAGAAAAAGGAAATAAGAGGGGAAAAAAACAAAAGTAAATAGGAAAAAGAGATAAAAGAAAAAAAGAACAACAACAAAAGAGTGGATTGGAGATGGTGGTGCTGAAGAAGTGGTAGTGGAGAGAGAATGTAGTCTACCTGAGGTTTCCTAGACAGTGATCCTCTTGATTCTGACTGTATTTTGTTCCTTATGTTAGGAGATCCTCAGTCCCAAATTTATATAAACCACCAATATTTGTGGAAAGTGCCAACATTGGCCACCAAGACATAAATGAGATAGAAGGGGGGGGGCAGAATGGGAATGAAGAGAGAATATAATCTCACAGAATGAACCAGCATGGTGTTCTATTTGGTTCTGGGTGCATGCTGGTCATGTTTTAGAAGGTATTAATTTCTGCCATTGTAGAACAAAGTGAGGCAGAGAAAACAAAAAGCACAGAAGAGAAACCCATATCTCATATATCTCCCAAAATTATATTGAGTTGAAGAGAATCCAGAAGAGAAAAATACATGTACGGCAGGTAATTGTAGAAATATGACAGTCAAAAAGGAGAAAATCTTGGGCAGCCCTGGTGGCTAAGCGGTTTAGCGCTGCCTTCAGCCAGGGTGTGATCCTGGAGACCCGGGATCCAGTCCCACATCCAGTTCCCTGATGGAGCCTGCTTTTCCCTCTGCCTGTGTCTCTGCCTCTCTCTCTCTCTCTCTCTCTCTCTCTCTCTCTCTCATGAATAAATAAATAAAATCTTTAAAAAAAAAAAACAAAAAGGAAAAAAAACTTAAAAATTTAGAGATCGTAAAATATTGTAGTTAAGTTGGTAAAAGAGAAAAAATATTGGAACTTTTTAGTCTGGCATAAACAACCAATTGTAATGGAAAAAGGGAAAAAAATTTAAAAGGTGGGACCCTCTAGTTCTATATACTATTTCCCTCTGTCCTAGTGCTTTCCAGAGCTGCTGGGTCAAGAACTTGGTCTTCCCCTGTACTTCCAGCTGGTCTTCCGGGGGAGGGGTCTGCTATACTGATTCGCAGGTGTGTGTACCTGGGGGAGAAGCCCTGCCCCCCACCAGTTGCCGGGCCAGTGTGAGCTATTTACCCCATGAGTTCTCTGTTCCCTGGTGGCCCCGCCTCTCCCAGGCACAAGGTGAAACAAGGACGACAACCAACAATAGCAGCAGCCAGGTTTCCAGCTCCCTGCTAGTACTAATGCAGTCTTCCCGTCTGCCCTGGCCTACATGCTCCCAGGCTGGTGTGGGTGCACCGATCTGCACTGCTTGGGGGCACCCAGCGGCAGCCGAGTTCTCGAGTTCTCGCTGTCCTGTCCAGAGGCCTCCCCGCCTCTGCCTGTCTTGGGGGGAGTGCAAGATCTCTGGCTTTGTCCATTCGGGTGCCCTGGGATATGGGGGCCCTCTACTGCTGGAATCACACTCTCGGTGGGGAGGCAGCTCCCGAAGGCAGTAGGGTGCAGACATTTCTGTCCGGAGCCGGCCTGCCTAACTGACTGGCTTCTCCCAAATGTCCCGAGGGTTGCCCTTTACTAAGATTGGTCCACAGTTTGTGGCGAGCTTTCCCCAGGTGCACTTCCTCTATTAGTGATTCCCGGGAAACTGGAGGTTTCTCTGTCCCTCCTGCGATTCTGCCCAATTTCCCGGCTAAGCACTTTTCCATGCAGGAAAACTCCAGCGCAGATTTTTAAAGGTCCTGATTCTCCAGGGGTAGGCTTTCCTGGCCCGGAGGCTTTTGGGCTGTAGCCCCGGTACTCGCAGTTCCCCTCCCCCAATTTTTTTAAAAAAATTGTTTTCTGCCTTCCTACCTTGCTAGAAGCAAAACCCCTTCTCTCTGTAGCATTCCAGCTGTCCTCTCTTTAAATCTCAGGTCGAATTCTTAGGTGTTCAGGATGTTTTGAAAGTTTTCTAGGTAAGCTGGTGGGACCAGGTGAGTTGAGGACCCTACTCTTCCTCCATCTTGCCTCTATACTTTCCTTTCAAATTCCAGTTTTCCATTGCTGGTTTAGGAAGGTGACTGAGTTTTACACAATAACATCGTATCTTTCAATCTTGCTATATTCACTTCTTAGTTGCAGATTTTCTTTCTGGTCAGTTATTTCACATAGATAATAATGTCATCTATGAACAAAGATACTTTATTTCTTCCTTCCCAATCCATATGTATTTTATGTATTTATTTTTTGTTCTAATGCATTAGCTGGGACTTCCAGTACCATGTCGAGCAGGAGTAATGAAAGGGGACACCTTTCTTGTGTTCTTTATCTTTGGAAAAATCATTTAGTTTTTCAGCATTAAGTATGAAGCTAGCTGTCACTTTTCTGTAGATGTTCTTTATTAAGTTGAGGAAGTCCCCTCTATACCTTATTTCCTGAGAGAGATTTTTGTGTATGAATGAATGCATATTGGATTTTGTCAAATTCATTTTATGTTTCTATTCAAATGCTTTTCTTCTCTAGCCTGTTCATATCGCTGATTGCATTAATTGATTTTTCAATATTGAAACATTGACTGGCATACCAGTGATAAATCCCACTTGGCTGTGGTATATAATTGCTTTTATACATTTTTGGATTCAATTTGCTAGTATTTTGTTGAAGAGGTATGCATTTACATTTTCATAATCTGTACTTTTTTCTGAATTGTAATGTCTTACCTGATTTTAATTGGTTAATGCTGGCCTCAGAGAATGACTTAGGAACTGGTTTTTTTTTTTTGTTTTTTTTTTTTTCCTGCTCTATTTCATGAAAGAGATTGTATAGAACTGGTATTATTTCCACCTTAATTTTTTGGTAGAATTCACCAATGAAACCATATTGGCCTGGAGCATTTTTTAAGAAAGATTGTTAATTATTGATCAAATTTATTTAATAGATATTGGCCTATTAAGATTACATATTTATCTTTGTACATGATTAATGAATGCATCTTTTAAGAAATTGGTTCATTTTATCTAAGTTATCAAATTTGTCAGCATAAAGTTGTATATCATACACAAAATCTACACTGGTGGAGTTTTTCTTCAACATTAAATATTTCACTCCCTTTTATTCTCGCTCAAATGATTTCTGAAGAGAAGTCCAAAGTAATTCTTGTCCTTTCCCTATATCTAAGGTTTCACCACCACCACCACTAACACTGACTTCTTTCAAGATATTTTGTTTGCCTCCAATTTTCTGAAGTTTGAATATGATATGCCTAGGTGTAAACTCTCTGGAATTTTTCATAAGGATGTGTTCTAAGTTTTCCGGATCTATAGTGTCTGTTATTTAGAGAATTATCTTTCATTATTACTTTAAATATTTATGGTCTCTCTTCTGTCTCCTTTTCATGTCACCAGTATGTGTATGTTACATTTTTTGTAATTATTCCACAGTTCTTGTATATTCTATTCCATTGTTTTTATTCAGTTATGTCTTTGCATTTAACTTTGGAAGTTTCTATTGACATATGTTCAGGTTTACTGATTAGTCTATTGAGCTCATCAGCACATTCGTCATTTCTGTTACAGTAATTTTGTTTCTAATATTTTCTCTTGATTCTTTCTTAGAGTTTCCATGTCACTACTTACCTTACCCATCTATTCTTGCATGTTATCCATTTCTTCCACTAAAGCCATTAGCATATTAACCATAGTTATTTTAAACTCCGTCTGATAATTCCAAAATCACTGCCAGTTGTGAGTCTAGTTCAGATACTTAGTTTCTTCAGACCACTTTTGCCTTTTAGCATGCATTGTCATTTTTAACAGTAAAATAATATATATAATTATTATTTTTACAGTAGGTGAAAGATGCTGAGGTAGATTGGTCTTTAAGCTTTTATGGGGATCCCTGGGTGGCGCAGCGGTTTGGCGCCTGCCTTTGGCTCAGGGCGCGATCCTGGAGACCCGGGATCGAATCCCATATCGGGTTCCCGGTGCATGGAGCCTGCTTCTCCCTCTGCCTATGTCTCTGCCTCTCTCTCTCTCTCTCTATGTGATTATCATAAATAAATAAAAATTAAAAAAAAAAGTTTAAGCTTTTATGTTTATTTGACTAAGAGTTAGACTGTGTTTACTATTTGCTATAGTTGTGATGTTAGAGGCTAAAGTTTCCTCCACTGTCCTTGTTTTGGTCTCCCCTGTTGGCTTGGGCTGTCCGTAGACTCCATAAATATGATCTGAGGTTTTCAATTCTTTTGGCCATAATCCCCTTCTATTACGCAGGAGCCCTATTGATGTGATTGTAATGCATGAGAGGAAAGCAAGCCTTTTATAATCCTATAATTAGATTTCAGTCTTTTTTGGGCCTGAGTTATGTATTTTCCTTCCTCTTTGTCAAAATCTAAAGAGGCCTGGACTTGGATGTTTCCTGTCCCAGGTTGGTTAGGCTTTGGTAAAATCCTCTTATGTTAGGTCACGGTAAAATAATTTCCTTGAGGGCAGGCTTTGTTTAAGGGGGAAAAAGCTCTAGATATATTTTGAAAATGAAATGCTAGTTTTCTTCTTCCCTCATGGGAAGCACTACAGGATTTTTCTCTGATATTCTACAGTGAAAAACTGGTAGGTTCATTTCAAGAAAAACTATGGGAAGTGTATGGGGAGCCCCTTAGGAGTAGGTTCCTTATGAGTTTAAGCTCTAAACCTAGTCCACACAGAAACTTCAGAAATTCATCAATTACAATTTTAATATACTGACTTAAGCTATGGACTTCTGTTCCTGGTAGGTTGTAATTCTCTATAATTGCCTGTTTCTTCAATTACCAGGGCAACAGTTTGTCTTAGGATCTCAATTCTTCGATGAATCTAAGAAGAGTTGTTGGATTTCAGTTTGAACAGTTTTATTCTTATTGTGAGGATGCAAGTGATGTCTGCCAAGCTTTTTACACGTCAGAAATCAGAAGCTTATGTTGGTTTATTGTCTTTTGAATTGCTGTTAAGTTATATGAATATGTCATTTCAAGTTTAGTCAGACTTTATAGATGATGCTCTGTGCTTCCTTTAAAAGTGTTCATGTAATTCTCATCTCAGGGTATCCTTTCTTAGCTTTCCATATTTGTAAAAAGTAGTGTTAAGTGTTTTATTATTTCTGATATCTTTGGTCTATGGTTGTTAGGAAGGGGGAGATGATTAAATACTTTGTCATTGTTTTATGCTAATGATAGTGCCTTGGAATTAGAATGATATCCTAGAACTGGCAAATAGAAAAATACACTTGCAGCAAAATGACAAAAGCAAAAATAAGGGATTTGTCTTCAAATGTAAGCTAAAACAAGAATTGAGGCTGAAAGATTGGCTACTTAGTCTCCTTTAAGTAAATGTGAGAAGTTTTTATCATGTAACTGCCAAGAGACTAAAGGGCTAAGAAATGGCCCCTACTTATCTCAGAATCACGTCCTGTATACTCTTCTATACGTGCAATTTGTAATTGGGAAAAAGCTTCTTTTTCATATTTTTTTCTTTAAACATTTAATAATGTTTGGATATATACATGCATGAAATAGAAAGATCTGAATACAAGCTATGTCACAATTTACATCATCAATTAGTGTTAAACATGAAGGAAAATAAACTTGGAAACTATGAAATACCTGACTCATAAATACAGATATTTCTACTTTATATTAAATAGTCAACCTTTACTGAAATTTTGAATTAAAATACATGCTTTGAAACTATAGGGGAATATTTCCCTGTGCTCAGAGAGCACTTCATCTATCTCAGGCTCCTCCTGTCTGACCCTCATACAAATGGCACTTTTTCCACCTGGGAAATTGGCTGTCCTTTATGGTGTCACTCACTGGCCCCCAATCCTTTGAAGTTTGGAGCCAGGTCTTGGGGTGTGATCAGGGCAGAACCCAAATTAGGTTTAGGATTAGGGCCCAGGGAGCTCGGATGGTTAGGGTTAAGGTTAGGGGTAGGGATAGGGATAGGGATAAGGATAGGTCTAGGTGTAAGGTTAGGGGTAGTGTTAAGGGTTAGGGTTAGAGGTAGTGGAGAGGTAGGAGTTGGAGTTAGGGGTATGGGAAGGGGTAGGGGTAGCGTTAGTGGTTTGGGTAGGTGTGGGTAGTATTAGGGTTAGGGGTAGGGTCAGGTTAGCGTTAGGTTTAGGCTTAGGGTTAGTGGTAGGGGTAGGTGTAGTGTAGGGGTAGGCTTACAGGTAGGGGTAGGTTTAGGGTTAGGCTTAGGGTTAAGTGTTGAGTTTAGGGGTTAGGGTAGGGTTAGGGTTATCCCAGGACCCTGGGATCACAACCAGAAACAAAGGCAGACGATTAACTAACTGAGTCATGCAGATGCCCTATACATACTTAATTTTTGTAAAGCATGTTCATTCTTTTTTCATTACCTCTAGACCCAACATAGGGCTCGAACTCACGACCCTGACTGAGATCAAGAGC